CACATCCCTGCGTTGTTTTATCCAATTTTTTTTATCCGGCTGTAGTTGCAGAGGGAGTAATAGAAAAGAGTACGAATAATCAAATATTATATACAATGGAGAATTCGTGAACAATGTGTTGAATTGTTCTTCTCATGATTTCAGGGAATGCCTGTAGATATTACCCTTAAAATCGAGAGTTGAGAATTGTTTCATTGGATAGCTGGAAAAATTTCTGGTGAAACCGAAAGCACAGTTTCTTGAAATACTCCATAAGATAAAGTGAAAATAAGTTTGGCGAGTGGCTTCAAGTTGTTTTTTCACTTAATCTTTGAAAGTTGGAAAATGAAGGTTTTTCTTACCAGAATGAAATTCCCATTGGCATCCAATCAAATTCTTTTCAACATGTAAAGCCCTCAGGATCTCAACAAAACACTAGAGTGAGTAAAGAAATGAAGACACAGATTACCCAATTTTAGATGATTTCATAATCTGGTACCTGTGTCCTCGTAATATTCGCACTCATTCTCGTCTTCATCCTCTCCATCCCGACAATCTTGAAATCCATCGCAGACATGTCTTTCAGGTATGCATGAACCATTTAAACATGTGAATTCAATCGATGGATCACAGCGGGAAATTATTTTCGAATTGACAACGGTAGTGAATGACGTTGACGTTGTTGAGGTGCCAGTGGAATTCGATAATTGGTTGTTTATCAATTCAGTTCTCAAGCTGTTAAAATAGTCGCAGTCTTCTTCGTCGGATAGATCAAGGCATTCGTTTATCTCATTGCAGATCTGCTCCTCTTCAAGGCATTTTGTTCCGTCGCAGAAGTGTTGATCTTCATTGCAGGGACCATAATCCGGATCTTCAGTCGTTGAACCACCGATCTCATTGCTCTCAGGATCTTCATACTCATCACTCCCTAGAATATGCCAGGATGAGGCTCCCAATGTTTTGATTATGGAATTCGACTGAGTGGTGGGTAAAATATTCATAATCTCTTCAGAGGTCTCAGGCAAGGGAACCTCTACTAATTTCTTCCCCGATTGATCTGTGGTTGATAGAATATTCGGTGAGATTATCTCGTATGTTTCCTTGGATTCGAAAGCGCTGTATTCTGCAGGACTACCGAATGACGGAGAGAAAGATTCGACAGTTGATGACTCTTCGGATGTTGGTATTGCTGATGTGATGTCTACCTCTCCGTCTACGATTTGCGTAAATTTTAATCGATTCGACGGTTCTGTTGCATCAAATTTGTAATCTGTACATCCAGAGGTGCTATTGCAATCGGGTACTGCTAGATCTGAAGTTGATTCCACGAATTTTAATTCTGTCGTTGTCCTGTTGGTTTTTATTTTTGGAGATTCTGTGGATTCTGCATTGGGATTGGTGGGTTCGATACACCATATCTCCCAGAATCCACATTTAGTTACTGGAATGGATTTCATTGTTGTACTGGTGGATTCTGGTGACGAATAACTCGATGCAGAAGGTGATTTTGAAAAAACTTGTTGAAAAGTAATCGGGACCGTTGAATATGGAACTCTTGTCCTGAAAGCTGAAGGATCGTTCGGCGAATTGGTGGAAACAGTTGGTGAATACGGCGGAATTGTTGATTGCTTTTTCTTACGCCCTCCATTAGTGTTTTTCTCAGAGTTAATTTTGTTCTTTTTGTTCTTCTGTTTTCTATCTTTATGACTATTCTTGTTTTTATCTCTGTTATTACTTTTATGAGACGGGTTTTGATGCTTCTTTCCGTTTCCCTTGACCTTCTTCTGGGGTTTTTTATTGTTTTTCCTCTGAGTTTCGTCAATCGCTTCTTCACCGGAGTCAAGTAGTTTTGTTTTAGACGAAGGCTTAACTGTTGCATTATTTGATAATTCGTCAGAATCAAGCAGCCCAGAATCAACGCGTTCATTTATATTTATCCTGGTTTTGTTATATAAATTAGCATATTTATCTCTCCAATAGTCGCAATTGTTGGTGCAATTAGGAACAGCTGGATGTAGAGGTGGTAGAATTACCTGTACACTCGGTGATACATTTACTGAGGTGTTATCATTACTTTGGTATCTCAATGATTCGACCGGTTTGTCAATCGAGTTATATCCTAATTTCTCCTGAAGCTTTTCTTCCCCCACATTTGAACTCTCTATTTCGGATTTCTTGAATTCCACAAGGACTTTCTTAGGGGTTTTGGATTTCATTGTCAGATTATAGTGAGAGATATAATCATCGATTTTCGGTCGCCTTTTCTTAGT